AATATATAAATATAAATATATGAGATTTTTAGAAAACCACTTGAATATTCATCAGTAGGGTTTTTTCCTTTTTGTGTTTTAGTAAGGGTCTACAGGGTCTCACTACGTAGATTGGACTCATAGTGATCCGCCTGTGTCCAGCCTCCCAAGTGCTGGGATTACAGGCACGCGCCACCACGCCCAGTCTCAATCACCGTCTCAGCTCACCCCGGCGGCGGGGCCAGCACAGCATGCCGGGGATTGAACCCTGCTGCTGGATCTGCCTAAGCAGGTGCTTTAATTCGCTGAGCTATTTGGCTCAGTAGAGGTTTTGATACAAGAAATCACTGTCCACCCATACTATAAAATACTCTGCAGCCATCTGCGAGGGAATGCAGGCACTTTGTGAAGCTCTGGAAAGAATTTCTGTATTAAAAGTCTCTTTATTTTACTTATTTTTTAGCACTGAGAACTGAACTCAGAACTTTGTGCCTGCCAGGCAGGTGCTGTGCTGCTGAGTTAGTGTCACGAGCACCTTACTGGCAAGTGCTAGGTCCTGAGTTTGACTCCCAGTTCCCAAGAAAATGTCCCCTTAATATTAATAATTCCAGCATAAGTAATCCCAGCACTTGGGAGCCTGAGAAGGAGAACTGCTACAAGTTCAAGGCCAGCCTGGGCTACACAATAAGTTCCGGGGCAGCCTGCACGATTCAGTGAGACCCTGTCTCAAAAAACCAAAATAAAAATAATAATTATTATAATAATGCTTCCTGTTTTATTAATTAATGAAAAAAATGGTTTCATTTGGCTGTCTCAGGGATATTTGTTATACAGCAAAAGCTAACTGATACAGTCAAATACTAATATACATTACCTCAGTACCTTTAAGAAGAAATATGAAGTATATAAATAACTCTCCAGGGCAGACATCCTATTATGATTTCCCTGGGGAATCCATAATTAATTTACCATCTACACAGCCAGGTCCCAGCCCACAGTGAGTGTTTGCCAAACTCATTACTGCAGTGCTTCCACCAGCTCACAGACCCTGGCCTGACGTCATATGGGCCTGAGGATCAGAGTCGCCTGGACCCAGATCCACTCTCCAGCTCGTCTGAACCTGTGTACCCCACCTCCACCCTCCAGGCGGTTACCTTCTAGTAACGACAGCAGCATCACCACCATGTCCTTCTGCAGATCCAGCAGCTCCTTCAACAGCTCGATCTGGCTGGAGTCCTAGGGTCCCACACCCAGCTGCGTGAGGCTTTGTTTCTGCAGAGAGGCCTCCCCCCGACCTCCAGCTGCATCTGCCCTCCTCATCTTCCCAGCTGGGCCTAAGACTGCCTTCCTCTCCCTTCTTACCTCCGAGGGGACCCGAGTCCAGACATGTTCCTCGGAAGCAAGGGAGGGGGCAGAGAGACAAGATTGTGGGGGTAGGATTGGCACTTAGGGGGAAGCTGGCCCGGCAGGTGACGTGAGCACATGGGACCGACAGACAAAGAGGCCTGGCAAGCTGACACTGGAGCAGAGAGACGGAGGTAGACAGGGACAGGCAACAGGATGGGAGTCTAGCACGGCACCTGGCCTGCGGTGGGTGCTTGACACAGGTAAATGGAATATGGTGTGCAAGGGGGACAGTGAGACTCTGAGCTCAGGAGGAAGGCTGGGAAGATGGTCTTGCACTCTCTGGCAAGCCACTGGGGGGAGTATTACGGTAGCACATTGCATCCACTGCCACAGCACCTCATGTAAGACACATGGAAACCTCCTGCACAAAGTTCCACCTCATGACAGTTGTTATTATGTTAGAACATAAGATTGCCAGTGGATTTTTTTGTTTGTTTGTTTTGGGACAGGGTCTCACTAAGTAACCGAAGCTGGTTTGTGACTCACAGTCCTCCTGCCTCAGCCCCTGCAGTGCTGGGATTACCGCCATGTGCCATGATGCTCAACAACATGTGACTATTTTTGACCCACAGAATCAAAACGTAATTTCATACAGTTCCACCTAATGAAAAGGAGAGGGCTGGGAAGGAGGGTAGATGAGTGGGATGTGGGCTCCCGGCACCTCAGGCTCGCTTAGCAGTTACTGGTGCTGAGCCTAACACACTTCCATAGTCACAAAGCTCTGCATTGCTCCTTGGTTTGAAGTATGGGGGACTGAACTGCGGCAGTGCTGAGCTACAGTCCCAGCCCTTCTCATTTTTAAATTTTGAGAGTCTCATTAGGCTGGCCTTGACCTCGCAATCCTCCTGCCTCAGCCTCCCAAGTAGCTGGTGTGTCAGACATGCACGTCCGCAGCCTGCTCAAAACTGTTTTCTAAGCTTCCAACATTCCAGCATCTGAAGACTCTGGAGTTTGTGTCTGCTTATAACCTAGTCCCCCACTTCCCTTAATATCTGCATTTTCAACTGCTTGTCCCCAGTCTCACCCACAGAGGCCTTGCGGTAGCCCCACCTCCAGGTGGTGTGTGTGTAGGGGGTATGTGACAAGGTCTGACCCATCCGAACTTTCTTCCTTTTGGCTACAATTGGTTCAGGGGTGAGCTTGTGACCCAGTAGTCCAATGAGAGGGAAAACTCAGGTCTTTTTGTGGCTTCTTTTCCTTCTGGACCTGTCACCGTGGTGAGTAGAAACCAGAGGCACGTTTCTTTCTCTAGCTTGTGTGAAAACCCTCCTTGGGAAGGAAGCCAAGGAGAAGACCTATTTCTGCTGACCTTACCCTAAATCCTGGATCTGTGAAGTACATTGATAAATTATTTTTTTGCTCTTAAATCATCACTCTGCTTTGGATTTCTATCACTTAACCTAGACCTGGCCCATGGTTGATGGTTTAGTGCCGCAGGACCTGAAAGTCTCTTTCCACTAGCATTTGAAGATTACGGCAGCGTCACAATGTCAGCTGCACTGATCCTGAGTTCTCGAGGGACTCTTCAAAAAGTCAGAGGACATCAGATTAGAAAAAGGCTCCCTTTGCTGAAGATGGTTTCTCCGGGGATCTTGCAATACACGTACAGAATACTTTACTGCCATCTGCTGGTAAATCGCTGAAATACACACACATGGTGTCTAGGCTGTCTGAAGATGTCATACCTTTTTTATGCAGTGACTATGTATGGCAACCTTGGATGTTTACCAAACACAAAGCAGAGCAAATGAAGTGTTCACAAAGCAGATGAGGCTGCAAAAGCGCACGGGTGGCAGGGAAAAGGGGAACACAAGGATTCTAGAGATGGGATTTGAGGCTCTGCAGGGACCTTACATCATGGATGCCCGGCATGGGAGAAGTCATCTGCCGCAGGCAGGATAAAGAAGCAACGCTTATCACGTCTAGCCCTGATCTAAAAACCTGCGCCCATTCCATCCTTAGAGCTGAGTCTGAGATGACCTCATTAGAGAAAGAGAAATAAAAAATCAACCAATCGAAGAGGAGCTCTAGTCAGAAGGGGCGGGGCCCAAAACATCAAAATCAAGGTTTGTGTAAGTGGGAAACAAGCTGATTGGTGGTAGGAGGGGAGGCGGGGTCAAGGCGGGAGCCAATCCAGAGAGGAGGTGGGTTTGGCCTTGGGTAGGGAACCAGTTTGGAACAGGCCAGGAGTGCTTGGGAGAGAAACTGACCAATGGAGGAAGACTTGGACACTGGGCAGCTAGGGGATGCCCGGAAGCAGGCAGATGAAGAACAAAAGGGCCCAAACCTGAGCAAGCTTCATCATCATGTGGGCAAACACATGCAGGAAGCCCACGACGGCGTCCCAGAGGCGGCTGTGTGCCAGGCTCTGCTGGTTCCCAGTGCAGGGGCCCTGAACGTGGAGCACTGAGTGAGGCCCAAGCAAGGCCGGAGTGCAGACTCCTCCCCACTGCTGCCTCCTCCCAGGCCAGCCCTACCTGTATGTACTCCGTGAGGCTGTTGAATACTTGTTTAGCCACGGACATGGCCTTGGAGAAGTTCCTCTTGCCCTGCTCTTCAATGACATCCTTGCCAGAGTAGTACCAGTAAAAGTCGCTGATGGACTCCTGGGGGTATTGTGGGGGTGAGCGGAGATGGCCCAGCCGAGGTCCCACGCCCTCGGCTTGGATCCCCCATGAGGAGCCTCCCATCCCTACCTGTAGCCGTAGGAGGTAGTCCACTGTGCAGATTATGATGTTAATAGTGGTCGTGTTCCCTGTCTGTGTCCTCAGATAGTTCTGGAAATCTAAGGAATTTAAAAGTTGTTAATTCCCACATGACTGACACTGACAAAGGTTCTACAATCTGAGGTACAGGATCTCAGGATAAATCCTGAGGGGATTTCACTGACCTTATCAGACCCAAGAGCTACAACTCTTGTTGCATAGGTCCTGCTTTACCTTGGTCTTAACCATCCAGCAGAAAAGTATAAAAATGAAGTATAAGAAATAAAGCCATGGGCTGGTGAGATGGCTCAGTGGTCTAAAGCACCTACTTAGAACAAGCTTAGCAAAGCACAGGGAACACGGTTCAATCCCCCAGCACCACATGCCAGCCAGCCCCACCCCCTGGTGGGCTGAGCTGGCCACACACACACACACACACACACACACATACACACACACACAAATAAATAAAATTAAAAAAAAAAAAAAGAAGAAGTAAAGCCATGCTGTTATGTTGAGCTGTAGGGGACTCGGGTCAACAATTTCTGACATTGCCAGTGAAGTGGAAGACCCAATGCTATTATGGACTACTGGACTCTTTTAGAATATTTTGCTGAGTTAACACACCTATACTACTCAAATGATGGAACTAAACAAAAAAGGGGATACAGATGAATGTCCATCTTGTATCTGTGTATTCAAAGTGGTTAGGATAGATATATAGTTACATTCTCTTAATGAATAGAGGGATTTGTTCTAATAGTGTTTGTAAATAGGATATCATGTCTGCATCTTGTACAGCAATTAACCACTAGGAAGAATGTATGCAATGTGTTAATTATTGAAACTGTCCTACCAGAGAAATAATAAATAAATAAATAAATAAATAAAAGTAGTTAATTCAAGCCAGGCCTGGTGGCACACACCTGTAATCCCAGCACTGGGAGGCTGAGGCAGGAGGATCATTTGAGACCAGCCTGCACTACAAAGTGAGCTCAAGACCAGCTTTAAAAAGACAGACAGACAGACAGACAGACAGACAGACAGACAGGCAGGCAGGCAGGCAGGCAGGCACACACACACACAAAGTCATTAATACACTGAGAACCTAATATCCTGGGAGGGAATGTGGGCAGTGGCTTATTCTATTCTTTTTCCCTTTTTGGGGTCAGGAATTGAGCTAAGGGCCTCAAAGCTGCCGAGTGTGAGTCCCACCTATACAACTTAACAACTTAATAAAACTACAAGGTCTCAGGACGTAACTTAGCTCAAAGGCCCTGAGTTCAATCCCCAGTACCATCAACAAAATAACATAAACTATTAGTGAGGGTGTATTCTGTCTCAGATGTTATGGAGGGTCAGTTATTTATTCTGTCATATTCCCCCAACAAATATTTATTCCTACTACACAGCAGGGGAAAATAGGAATTAAGTCCTCCATTTATTTCCAAAAATCTTTTTTTTTTTTTTTTTTGCAGAACAGGGGATTGAATTCAGGCCCTTGCACTTGCCAGACAAGCGCTTATTCTACTGAGCTATCTTCCCAGCCCCTCCAAAAATCTTTATTGAATTCCTACTGTGTGCTGAGGAAAATGGAAGTATGGTCATTTACCCAGTGATTTCTACAATAATATTGAGCATCTTGTCAGAAACAAGGAGGTAAGGATTGGTCATTTAGTCAACATATTTTCAACGGAATATAACTGTATGCTAATAAGAAGTGAAGATTGTCACTTATTCTTTAGTACAATAAATTTACTTAGTATTTATAAGGTGTCAAACACAATTCTAGGGGCTG